AAAAAATAGTCATGCTTCACAAAATGCAGTCTTTGGTTACCCATGCATGCGCAAGTGGCTCGCAGTAGCAACTTTTTCAACACAAAGCAGCTTGCTCACCGCTAGAAGTATATAAGCCATCCATCAATACGTGAAAATCCAGTAGTACGTAGTTGCGCAATTATCAATGAAGACCAATCAAGGCAAGCATTTGGACAGAATTGTTGATTGACCACTTGGTCGGTGTCCCAGAAAAAAATTGGATCTCAGTTATAAGTTTCAGAAAAGAACATTGAGGCATTTGGGACCTGTGGCACCGACTTGGCAGTCTTCTTTCAGTAACATTAGGTCGCCTTTCATTCAAATCACATCATAACCATCCCATCGTATAACGTCTACCCTTGATGTGTCAGTCACCTGTATCGTAGGTTCCATCTCTAAACACTCAAGGTGCCTATCCCAAGGGCAACTCAGGCCAAACTCCATCGCTCTTCGATAAACGACCAATGGGTGAGGATTTATTGTGTCCAAGACATATAATCGTCCAATTGGCCAACCACTTCTGAAAAAATACAGTAAACGAAAAGGGAGAAAAATATTATTTTAATCACAATCGTAAAAAGTAGAGGAATCACTGGTCGATTCAGAGAGAGATTCAAATGTGGCTTCTGATCCCTCTTCTGCTATTCCTCCGGCATAGTAGAGGTAAACGGTCAGGCCTTTTGGCTTACTATGGATGAGTGCAAGCTCGCATTCCAGTTGAGGAATCACATCCACAAGTGCAGCATTCATAAACCTTCGGTGTAGTTCAAACAACTGGCCTAGAATAAGGATGTGAAAACGAATCAACCGAGCTTAACCAAACCGCATACTCAGGTATGAAGTTTATGTCAAACCTGCGTTGGTACTTCTTGGGAGGAACAGAGCCACAGGGCCCCCTGAGACAGTCACAGAAGCGACCGCCTCTAGGAGGTTGAAGAAGCTATCAGATTTCCCACTTTCACCTGAAAAGGTGAGACTAGACAGAGAAAAGACGGTGGAAGAAGAGTAGGTGGGTCCACCCCATGGAGGTGACGCAAGAGTGGCTGAGAAGCGTTGGTGTGTGTCCCGCAGGAAATCGAAGACGTCGGCATGAACAAAAGTAATGCGTTTGTGCACACCGTAAATTCGTGCGTTGGCTTTTGCCATCTGTAGCATCGACTCGCTTATGTCTACCGTCACAACTGAAGCCAACAAAGCCGGTGACATAAATTAGTCCGCGCTTGGTCAGAGCAATTGATTGTTTTTTGCAGTGATGAGAAACAAGTACTTGCATTTCAAGGGAAAAATGGCTAGTATGGCAACGTGTCCAGTGCAATAGACAAACAGTGGGAGCGAGAGCTCGGGAAAGACAAAAAATGGAAAGGAGAATTCTAAATAGAAATTCGGAGCGAATGCAACGCAGTAAATGCCTCCAATCGGTTGATGGGGGCATAATAAACAACACTGCGCCGAAGGATCGCGATGTATGCTTAACTGCAAACCATTAGTCTACGATGTGGTTGAGAGAACGAAGTCTGAGAAAGACGATCAATGACTATAATTCAAGATTCTTAAAAAGCCATCGCAATCTGACAACTGATACAGAATTGACGACATCCAAAAGTCTAAACCAAATATGAAATGAGAAGCTGTTAGTTAACAACAGGAAAATCTCCTAAACGGAGCAAAGTTGGCAAAAAAGCAGAGGCGGGTGCGTGTGTATTTCCGTTATGAGCGTAGGTGGAGTCGGTAATAAAACAAGGCGCCTACTAACCCACGAAGTATAATTGCTAAGTGGAAAGTGTACCAGTACACCGACGAAAAGCCTGCTAGGATCCATTATGCACATCCGCTGATACACCACTCTGATGCCTTCACAATTACCTTTATTTAGTACTTTGCGAAGCTAAGAATATAATCCACTGTGGATTTATTGCTCTTTCGTACTGCAAGGAATCAAGGAAATGTTTGAAAGCTAATGCGGGTGCAAGTCAGAGTTTGGACAAAGAAAGTCTTAGCAGAATACCCTTCGAAGCATTCGACGAAAAACTGCAGAGGCTAGTAAAAGGGACTTTCGATTCGCCTACTTGTTTAAAGCAGTTCAGCTGATGATAAACATTTCCAGAACTGTTTAGATAGTACAATTCAGCAAGAGGGAACTTTCTTGTGAGTTAAAAAACTCTCGGCAATGAGGACCTTCCGAGATTGAACTCGAGGTAGAGGCTGGCTCCTTACCCTCAGACTGAATCAATCAGTTGTCGCGGAGTCACTTGACTCATGAGTTGAAGACTACGCACTTTACTAGTGCTTAAAATAAACGAGAAATATGAGACAAAGAAAAGAGGGGAGAGTAAACCCACCCAATCGTAGTAAAAGTGTGCAATAAAAAGAGGTAGCGAGTTTCGTGAACAACGGCACCGGATTTCAGAGACTGATAGGAGTAATAAACCCCACAAATAAAAATACAATGGCTGATTGTTTAAGTCTCAGCTTCAATAAAAGTCGCATTCTAAATTTTTGTCGATGTACCTCCTTCAGAGAGGCATGACTCTTGCGCTACACCTTTAAATTCTTTTGCCTCTGTCCATGTCGGATGTGCACATTCTGTTTGTGTAGCGTGAATTCTTTCCTATTTACAACAAGTAAAATTAATCCCGAAGAATAACCACCTTCATATTCGCTGCCAGGTGACAATTATTAGCAGGACAGATGGAGGGCATGCGGTGCAAATGTATGTCAGCCACGCTCGGAGGGAGGTTGGAGTGCCGCAATAATCACGAGCCTGGTGATTTTTAAATGCCAAGCCGTCAAGGCAAGAGAGTCAGAAACTTTGAGTACAGCTAAATTCCCCTCTTGCAACTCAACATTCACCTGACCGCAGCTGACAAGAGTCAAGGTTGGACTTTATTAAAACACTTCGTGCGGATTGTAGCGGAATCCATTATTCAATTGAATGTATCCAAACTCTTTTTTGGAATTCGATGAATGAATGCTTGATTACCTCTCAATTCAAGAGAAGATTAGATAGGAAACGCAATAACCTCTGACCTGAGTGTGAGTGGCCGGAAGGGATATTGTCACTACTTACCATTGAAGCCCACGACTGCTAACTGGATGCAGTTCCCACCGATACCAGTGAAGAGATCAAGAACGGTGTGAGAAGATGGCGGTCCGTCTAGCATGTTTGCCAACCGCCGCGCGTGGTGCACGGCAATCACCTCCGGGGTGACGCTAAAGAGACCCTCTAAAGTACAGCAAAGAAGGTTAAATCTTGCTGCTTATTGCTGACGCGTTACATCAGATAAGACAGGAAAATTCTACCTACGCATGTATCACCGTCCTTCAGTGTATATTGGTTCAAACTATCTTCGTAGGAGTAATAAAAAAGTGTAGGCGCTGATCACACGTATTTTGTCTAATCAACACTTCTCTACACTTGGAACTGCAAAAATTTTCATTCTTTTAAAAACATTGACGGACAACTTGTTTATCGATCAAGTCGCAAGGCGGCAGCGGTGTGAGTTCTGAGATCGCCTTCATCGACGGAACAACGAAACATGAGTTGGACATGCTAGACAAAAGCATTGATTTTAAACCAAGCGGAGATGAAATATACTTGTAAATTGTCCATGCCAAAATGAATTAATTTTGACGCTAAAGTGAAACATGGTATTTTGGACCGATAAAATCTTAATGGAGCCAAAATACAGCTATGAAAAATCTAAACGCTGCTAACCGAATAGACAAACATAGCAAAACAAAGTCTCTCCATCAATTCCTTTCATTATTCATGTTTAGTGTCAAACGAAAAAATGATCCATTAAGTTTCAACACTACTTCCTACAACGAACTGCTGAAGGATTCGTCAATGTACACCCATCCTAAGGCCTCACTAGCAAAGTGGAGCTCGTTCTATCGCTTCACACTACTTTCTAGCCAAATGTAAACCTAACGTGAGTTCCCAAAATGTTCATCGAGCAACCGCAAAAAATAAAATTTCCAAATTTCCTGTTCTGGATTGCCAATATGTCCACTGATAGTACAGCAGCAACATCTTCTTCCCTT